TTTTTTTAACTAAAAGTGTATCCCTTCTTTTATTTATAATGTTCCTTCTTCTTATGGAAACATTTAGACTAAAGAATCTTAAGACAACTATTTTTTTCTAAATCTTTTTTGTTTCATTTGTGCTCAGAATCTTTTTCAGTACTAGGCTTTCTGAAAAGTTTTTAACACCAAATTTTTTCTCATTTTTAATTTTAACCATATTTTGATATATTCAAATTAAAGTCTGAATTACTTTGTTTCTCCTTCTCTTAATTATGTTTTCATTATCCAAAATACAAAAATTGTGAAAGATAACAAGTACTCTACATGAAATGAACAGGGTGAATGCTGGTTCCAACCGAGAAACTCTAAACTCAACCAAACTCTAGAAAGCCAGGGTTTAAACCCTTCCGAAATCTTGAAGGAGCGGTTGAGGACATTAGAGGATACTGCATCTGTAATGGCTAGAGCTATTGTTAGTAAGGGAAATCAAACAACTGTTAATAGACATCCTGATTATGAGTTCTTCCTCTCTAGGAGACGCTAGTATACTTTAGTGTGTGTGCATGGGTTTGTAATAATCAGATAAGAGCTAATATACTTTAGTGTGTGCATTGCTTGTGGTACATTCAACTGCTTATCTATAAATCCATTCCAATATCTATTTTGATTAGCTTCATCTACTCACATACCTTAGACTATGCGTACAATGATAATACGTTGTCATCCACCTACGAATTTCAAGTTCTACCAGTACTCTTTTCTACTCAACATCCCACTTGTCATCCACAGTATTAAGGAAAAAAAAAAAAACAGTAACACTTTTGGAAGAGCTCTTGATTGACTCCACCAATGGGTTATGGTTCTGCAGAATACTCCAATATCTTTAAACAAACAAATATAAAATTGATACTACTTAAATGTTTAAAAAAATTTAACTTTTAACACCTTAAAAAACCCAATCTAAAAATGCCCAAAAAGAACTTAATTAAAAATAATCTTCAGTCCCATTCCAATTTCACATATACATGCTTTCTCCAAAAGGCCAAGAGCTGTCCTTTCTTGAAAAAAACTACAAAAAATTGTCTTGCACGTGCCTACCTCTCTTCGTCACCTCAAATTCCAAGTTCTTTTCCATTCGCTCTCCAAATCTTTTTGTCACACCTCAAAATTGGGAGCAAAACAGACGTTGTACACTTATGAGAGAATCTCACAAATGCACAAAACTTAGAATCTACTTAATTCATACTTGACAATCCACTAAATTAAAATCCACACTTTTAAAAAAAAATTTAACTTTATAACCAATATTTGACTAGGCTAAGGGTGTACAAAAATTATACAACTCCATTAATAAAGTCATAACTATCTCCAAGGGGATTTAGTTTACAACAGAATGATTTATATCTCAAAAATTTATGTCCAATATGATTAGTTTAGTGGACCTATCTTCAAAATGAACTAAATCCAAAATATAAGTGGCTAGCCTTCTAGCTTGTCACTCCCCTTGGTTTTTCACATCCTTGGTCTTGCTACTTGAAATGGTGGACGAGGAAAACTATGTGAGATAATTCAGTAAGTAAAAATATAGATAGCCTTAATTGAAATTTAAAGTATGCCAGGTAATCATTTTAATTTTAAACAGGAAGAAAATCTCAGTTGTAAATCATTTATACATATTAACAGTTATTTAGTGATCCCCTTAATTAGTCATGGTTAGTGTACTATCCTAACTGATAGGATAACAGAAATATCAATGTACTATCCCATTGGTAGGATACCAATGTACTTTTTCACTGGCAAGATAGCAAAAATGCAGAATGAACCAGTCCCATAAGTGTACATGTTGACATGTGCCAGCATTTACAACTCTCATTGACGGGTTTCAGGAATCATGACCATATTGGAGACAAAATCATGTAGGAGTTCAACAGGAAAATCCATAATTTACAAATATGTAGGAGTTAATAGGAAAATTCATAATTTACAAAACCAATTTCAGATTGCCAGAACAAACAAGTAAACTCCATGTAGGCATGTTCAATTCAATCAAAATAATAATAACTTCATTTCAAATCAGTCATGCTTAGGTGCTAATAAAAATCAATTTCGATCTTGCCACCATCTCAAAAATAATTCAAAATATGATTTAAAACTTTTACTTTAAAATCTAATGGCATTTACCATAGTTTTACTTACTTTGCCTTGTAGGTATACAATAAGCAAGAATTCAAGATCTCAAGGCGATGAAGGTGATTTAGAACCTATACCACATCAAATGAATAAACAACATTACAGTATACTCCATTTAACTAATTTGGTTCCTAATTCTAGAATCAAGTTCCTAACCGAAGATACAACTTCCTTCTACACCTCCTGATCACCTTTATCCTTGAAACCTTACTAATATATTAATATGTTTAACCATACTTAGAATATGCCTAAAACAGCTCCAAAAAGACACTACATATGGCAGAATTACCAAGTAGATTTGCTGAACAAAACAAACTAGAAAAAATGTGAGCATCCAAGCTCAAAACTATCCCAGCCAGTAGCACAAAAACTGGGAAGTAAGATGGGGGCTTCCACCATTTGAAATAATCCCAAAAGACTTGGAAAAATCCTTGGATAATAGGGATTTTTTGGGGCAAAAGTAGCGGGGATTTCTGGGCAAAAACAATAGCAAAACAATGTAGAATACAAGCCAAAACTAGGCAAAAATGAACAGCATTCAAGCAAAAATGCAGCAGTAAAAAGGTAATCAAAACAATAGAAAATTTTAAGATAAAATAGCACAATTTAAGTGAAAAACTACATTTAAAACCAGATGCAAAAAAGTAGATTTTAATTAACATAATTGCATATCTTCTAACACAGAAATAGGAAAAATATCAACTTGAAACAAGAACTAGTCATAGCTAAAATTTATAGGTTGTTTGGAACTATTTCATATAAAATTTAAGTAAGAAAAACATGTGATTCAAGAAAGGTTTCAGCAGAAAGAGTTGAGGTTAACAGAGCAATATTTTAGCAGTAAAATAAAGCCATAACAAGGGGTTTTAGAGTACAAAAAAAACAGCGAAAAGTCTAGTCAAATCATGATGCGATGTGGCAGTAGGTTATGTGGGAATAAAGTAGGAAATAGAGCAAATTTTTAGGCAAGTTTTAGTAAGATTTTGAACCAAAAGTTCCAACAGAATTTGCACCTAGAAATTAACCAATCTAGGTTGAATGGTTAACTGATTAATTGTAGCTCTATGACTTAACTTTCTATAGGATTAAGAAACACCTTAATCTAATATCTACAGAGAAAGTTAGGGTTAGAGTGTTTACATAAGATCGGGCTGCCAATTCTGTCCACTTTTAGGAACTGAAATTGCAGCCGAGTTTTCACCTTGAAAACAGCTTAACTAGGTTAATCATTCAACAGAAAAACTCTAGTTTAATCTCTTAACTTTCCATAGAATTAATAATGAACTTAATCCAATAGCTATAGAAAGAGTTATGATTAAAATACTATTGTAAGGTCATGCTATAAGAATTTCCCAGCAAAAGGGATTAGATATGATGGTGCTACATTATGATCAAAATCAAGGGCGAAAACTACAAAGACAAATCCCAAATTGAAAACCTTAAAGGATTAAAGTTTATCCAATTCAAATCATAGATGGAAAGATGAGCAATGTGATTGATTTCTTACTAGAAAATGCTGCAATATGGCAACCTCCCCTTACACTATACAAAGCTTGACACAAACTAGAAAATTGGAAGGATATCAATAGCAAGATCTAGATTTTGATCATCATTTGAGAACCATAAGCCTATTAATCTCTAAATTGAACTTGGGAGGAAGAAAAAGAACTAAATCTCACTTGATTTATGGTGAGAAGAAGCTGGGCACTAGCTAGGGCTTGAACAAGCACAAATCTGGTCAGGGCTACAAGGAATCACGCTAAATGGCAAGGAGAAAAAAAAAAAAGAAAATCAGCCTTAGCCTTTTTATTACCAGATTTTTGTTTTAAACCCCCTTGAGGTTTGGGAATTTTAGTCATTAGGTCTAGCTATAATAATTTCTTCCACATAAGTCCCTAACTTAAATTTTAAGATTTCAGAAAATTTTGGGATATTACATCCACTCGTCCTAAAAAGGAGTTTAGTCCCTTAAACTCAAGTTAGGGGTGTCAAAGGGTAGTGAATGTTACCCGTGATCCATGGTACAAATCCAGTGCACATCATATAAAAGAGTCTAGGCCTGTGCGTTATGAGTCCACTATGCTTCCACAGCACACTCTGATATTGAACTAAAGTCTAACTTTAAAGTGTAGCACACGTTAGGACTTGGTAAAAATAACCATGAAACTAATTTGCAAAATAAGCTTCTCGAGGCTAGGGTGCTACAGAGAACACAAGGAGCAGAAGTTTATCCTACCAAGGCTTCAAAGAATAATAGTTGAATTGTGCTATGTACCCAAAACAAAGATGAGTTGGTAGGGAATGGCATGGAAAGAATTTTGATGCACTAGCCAAATTGAGACCCAAATGATGGCCTCCAACACAATGGCTAACTTCATGAAGTGACAGCTCAACATTCTTAAGAGTAATAGTGAAAATCAAGGAAAATAGTTTAGAAAAAGCCATGTGGAAAACTTCCCCATTGCCACAATAATATTTTGGTTAGCAAAGATATGTTCGAGGATATAACTTAATTTGGGGTTCTAGGAAGATCAAGAAAAATCAAATCAGAGCCACAAAAGATCTAGACTCGTCCCACATCAAATTTGATTTCCAAAATAACTAACTCTATAACTAAAATCGAAATCCAATAACCTACATTTATTCCAAGCTCATGGGTAAGACATCAAGAAAACTAAGACCATCTTGAAGTGGTGTCTCTAGCTAGAGTTTAAGACCATAATAATATTGATGGTCAAAGAAATAGCACATCATGCATTACAAAATCAAAAGCAAGCCTCCACATCGAGGAAACATAGTATAGAAACTCCAAAAGATCAGGTTTCCAAATGATTAGTAGAAGAGTAAGTTCTAAGGTCAAAATATCAATAGAATCAAACCAATGGTTGAGCAAAAGAATGACACAAAAAGTAATAGCAAGGCCTATCAAAAGACATGGGTAAGAATTTCAAAACTAACTACCAGAATGAAATCAGGGGTAGATATGCCTAGAATATAGGATCAAGATATCAAGATCAAGCACCTTAAGTAACTAAAATTAATTAACATAACTTATCAATAGTTGGGATCAAGATCCTCAAAAGATTAATAACATGTTAATTAGGTAGCAAAATAGGAATCTAAGTAGGTAAGGGAAAAGAATCGTTCTTTTAAAATTGAACTCTAGAGTACTAGGTACCGTGATGACAACCTACTTGAAGCATAGTCCATGGAGGCAAGATATTTCCACAATTAAGTCATCTCTAGAATCAAGTTAAATTAGAGATATCAAAACATAAATATCAGCATTAGGTTATCTATTCTTGACAAAATAGAGACACTTCTAAATATATCCATAGAAGTTGTCACCCCTTCTAAGGAGGTGCTCATATGAAGCTCAAAATCGAGAAAATCAATAGCTATAGATAACAAGAAACATGAACCGGTGCAGAATTCAAAGTTTGAGCTCTAACAAATTTCGAAACAATTG